GCAGGGGAGGAGAGGACACTTGGTAACTTGTGCCCCAGGCTGTTTTCTGCCTGTCTCAGCAGCACAGTGATGACCGCTCGGGTCAGAAACCATCTTGTACCAGCGAACCTTCCTCTGAAGCTGTGGAACATCATCCTTCTGGTCCCACAGTTTTAGGGTGACCGAAGAGCCCTGGGATGGGCAGGAAAGCAGCTGGGACAGGCCACTGATGGAAGGAGCAGGTGCTTGAAGTGGGGGTTTGATACTGGCATTGTGTAAGACACAGCATCTGACCAGGTCTGAAAGCATCTTGTAACCTTATCTTGGCAAGTGTTACCATAAATAGGGCCCATCTGCACAAGGCTTCTGGCAACATTTATTTGAACTGCAAGAGAATAAATATGTAATTTTCCTCTTGTGAAAAATGGATAATGACCTTCAACGCTTCACTAGAAGTGTTCTGCCAGTAACACTTGTGGGAGGAAAAGTTACATATTTGCTTGCCTCATCAGCAGTGTGTTTGGTGTCTGCCATGGATTTGAATTGGGATGCTGCTTTTTTCAATTAAAAGGAAGCGCTTTAACCTTTGAAGTGCTACTTTTTCTTCTCCTAAGAACAGACAAATTCTTACCAGCATATCAAGCAGTCTTTGCATTTGTACTGGTTTCTGTTCCTTTTTGCTAGTATTGTTGAACGGTCTCTCCCACACTTGGGAAAACACAGGAGAGCTGTTAACACTGTCTGGCATGTGCAAGTCTGGCAATGCCACAGTCAGGTATTATTTGGGCTGCTTGTCACAGCTCAGTGACTGTGCATGCCAGTGTACTGCTTATAGCAATGAGAGATTTTCCCCTGTCTTTAGGTATACAGATAGTAGGACAATGAGTAGGGAAATAATTTAAAAACTTGCATGAAGAAAGATGCGCTCCTATGATTTAGAAATATACTGACAAGGGAGAAATGGCAATAGCTTTAATCCAAATCACAGCTGTAGTCAAATGAAAACAGGATGTGAAAGAATGCTTCAGGGAGAGGTGATCCAAAAAAATGAGATAGTGTTACTACCAAGAAATATTTTGGTATGTCCCCTCCAGGAAATATTCAGCCAGTCTCACTCACATATAAAAAGGTCTAGGCAGCTGTCTGAAACTGTACAGCAAGAACCAGAAACATTTAAAAAAACTGAGAGTATTTTAGTGAGGAAGTGCTTATTGGGTTGTGAGCTTGAATCAAATTAAGTACTAGGGAGCAGGGCTGTATGAAATCAGAGCTTTTTGTGTTTGTAGAGCACAAAACTATGTTTTATATATGCATATATACACATCCACATTCTTCCCTTAGCATCAGAGCTCACATTTAGGCAGCAGCAGATCAAAAGCAGCTGTATGACTTCTCCATCCTCCCCCTTCTAAATGTGGACAGCTGCATCCCAGTAGGTGATGGCTAACACAGCAGTGCACAAACAGCCACAGGCATCTGGACAGAAGGGCTTTTGACTACCTGGGACCCAGTTTCAGAGTGTTTCAGCAAGCAGGTAAAAAATGGTTTGTGTGTGCAACGTGATTTATGCAAGGGGGCAAATAGTCAAATCTATATTAGTTTTCCTGTAGTGGGAAGGGGAAAAGCAGTTAAGTCAAGCCAAGTTCTGTTTATTTTTCCTGCTGCTGCATTTGGTACACAGCTACTATCCATGTCTTCCTTAGGAAGACAAGCACATGCCTGAACAGCACTGGTCACTAAATCAGCCTCTCTCACAATTTGTCTGTCTCACTGTCAACCCTACTTAAAGCCAGTAGGTAGGAGAGAGCACCAAAGGGGAGAGTACCTTCCTCCCTTCCCTCAAGCTTCAATTGCTAATTCATGTTTCCAGCCTCTTGAGAATCAGCAGTGTCCAGGTGTCCTCAAAACTCAGGGTACTTGAGCGCTTGGTACCCCAGGCTGCTTGCACCACTGAGATGTGGGTGCAGGGCAGAGACATGGCCAGTCTCTTGCAAAAGGGGAAAAAATAAATGTGATATGATATATAGGAAGAACTTGAAAGGGATTAAGAGTGAGATCAAAAAAGGAATATGCAATGAGGATTGCTGGAGAATTCAAGAGGGTGCACGTACACTTGTTGGAAATGTGAGGATTTGCTAGGTGTGAAGACAGTTTGGCTAGACAAAACATTACAAACCGGTTGCTGTTGAGACTATGATGAAACCTGGGTGGGGAAGAGCAAGATAATAGCTACTGGACCATGAAGAAATACTTGGCTGGGGCATGAGGGGAAGAGGGGCACTGCTGTGCAGCTGGTCCAGCTGGTAGACTTGTCAGAAGTGGTTTCTCACTCAGAGTAAAATTGAGGGGACAGATAAATTAGAGGGCTTGGCAAAAAAATTGGCTTCTCAAGTCACAAACAGTCTGGACCCTCTGCTGCAGGTCTTGGGTTCAGTGTCCTTCATCTGGCCCCAGGAATCTGCTTTGCAGCCTGCAAAGCATTTGACAAGGATATATCCTTCTCCCAAGGGCAGAGAGGGATATGGGAGGAGATGGGGGAAAAGGTAAAGAAAGGTTGTATCTATACTGTTTCAAGTTTATACTTTGAACTAGGCTCAGAGCATTCCAACCCACAGGCCTGGAGTAAAACATGGAGGCAACCTGTAATATTCATTAACAGGCCACTCAGAGCTCTCAGGGGCACTTTTTATTTTTTTTTTTTTTTTACTCCTATTGCTGTAATACTTAAGTCTAAAGAAATGGAAAGGGAGGTTAGTTGTGGGGGAAGTGCAGTGTAGACTGTTAGACAGCAGGGACATGGCAGCTGGAAGCTTGCTGGAGCTCAATTAGCATTAGCAGCCTGGCGTATCTATCAGCAGGGCAAGGGAGGGTGCAGGTTGGGCCAGAAACAGGCTCCTTGTGCTGCCAAGAAACAGAGGCCATGGAGAACCAAGGAGAAATATGTCCCTGTCTGTTCTGGCCTAGCCAGAATGGTGTCTCACAAGCAACATGATCAGGTACTTCAGTGGCTAGAGGCCATGTCAACAAGGAGGGTCTTAAAACTGTGTTGGTGTAGAGAATATCCCAAAAGCTGATGCCTGTAGAGAGAAGCTCATAGAGGAATCTGGATGCAGGAGTGATTGTGAACCTTTGGAGCTATAACCCATGTTCTAACACTGAAGAACTGAAATATGTGGCCAGGGAAGGGACACTACATTCTCCTGTGGCTAAGCTAGGAGTGACAACTCCTTTAAAGCCACCCAGCTTTAAGGAAATCATTCTTATGAGTGTGTTTGGCCTCCTACTCCCTCTTAAGGTTCCCTAACTTCTCCTAGTAATCAGAAAGCATTTAGACCAAGAAAGAGGAAAAAAATTTCAGGAGACTTTTCTCAAGTTGCTCCACTGCTGGCCAAGCCACTAAATCACTCACTTTCCTGGTTGGAGACAGCACGCCCTTACTGAAGTATGGGAGAAACTATGGGACCTGCTGACAAGATGGGGTGAAGGACCTTAGTGCCAAGTTGCCAAGTTCTTGGACATGAAAAAGCAATCAGGCTCTGAGTGTTTTTGCTGAGAGTAAGAAAGATATCTGGTGTGTGCTGTATCTGTGACACTTTCCTACACTTAAAACAAATTCATGGATTTGCAGCATGTTCTCACTGGATTTACAATGAGTTTCTGAAGTGAGTTCTATCACTGTAAAACCAGAGAGATGCACAATAAAAACTGCAAATGCTTATTAGATCCTCTGATAAAGCACAGTGAGACGAGTCCTTTTGCCATAACAAGCTGCAATTACAGCAGGGCTATTGCTCGGGTCTCCCTGTTTTAAAGGACCTTGTCCTGCCATGGTCTGCTTAAAATTGCTGGCTGCAGCTTATGAGATTCAGTGGTGACAGGGAATGTAAGCAGGGATGATGCTGATGCATCACAACCAACACAGCATGATGCTTTCCTCCCTTGCCATTTCCTTGTGCTCTTGTGAATAGCTACACTGTTTTATGGATCTGAAGAATGGGGCATGGGACCGTGAAAGGAATTAGGTCAAAAACCTCATGAAACAGTGCCCAGAATATAAAAGGAAACTGCACTGCAGTATGAGGCTCCTTGGTGTGTGCCGAGATGATTGTGCATGTTTCTCTAGTGACCTTAGAAATGGAGCAAAGCAGCACTGGCAAAGTCAGAAATTTTTAACATCCTTACAGGAAAGGCCACATCTGGGTGCTGTACAAGTGCTAGCTCACTAGGTTGAAACTCTTCAAGAGTACTTTTAAAAACAGCCTAAAGTTAGGCTTCCAGCTCCATGCATAGTAGCCTGAATTTTCCAAATGGATTGGGAAAAAGAAAAAAAAGCAATCAATAGATGTTAATCCTCTTAGTGTTCAAAGTTCAGAGTAGCAATGGCATTCTTTCCTGTGAGAAACCCCTACTGAAACAACTTGTGTTTGAAATTTTTCCCTTTTCTTTGTTCCTTCCACTCTCTAGACCCTTCATCACAGGCAAGCTACTCCTTATGCCTTTGTTTCTTTGTGTTGTCTCTATCCCATCCCCTGCCTGGCTAATGGTAAGAGGAAAACATCATATACAGGATGAAGATTTCTAAACCACATGTGTTTTATTTTGGGAAACAGACAAAATGGGATGTTTAATTTGCAAACAGGTGTCAAAGCATGATTAAAGTGAAATATTAAAAATGGTGAGCACTTATGTTCACAGACAGAGGAATGCACTTATGTTCACAGACAGAGGAATGCACACCTCTGCATTCCTAGTTCCAGTACTAAGCAGATGCTTTAGCCAGCTTCCTAGCTTCCATTTCCTGCTTAGCCTTTTCTCTGAACTCTCTTTCTCTCTCAATGAGAAGTACTTGTTCTTCTTCCCACTCCTTTAGCTTCTGCTCATGTTTGGCAATGTCTTCCACTTCACATGCTGGCAGCTTTTCCTTGACAAGTTGGGTGGTCAGGGTTAACAGGCTTTCAGATTCAACCTTGCCAAGTGAATGCAGCTTGGAGTACAGCTCCTGTCACAACAAGAGATTTGGTAGGGAGTGAAGGAAAGAGCCAGTCAATCACAAAATAATCAGCCATGAAATACTTCCCTATAACTGTTTGCAGCATTATTTATTATTATTATTATTATTATTATTATTATTATCATCATCTGGGCTATACAGGCCTGGTAACTATCACATCAAAGTGTTTGAACTGTGGTAATTGGTACCATTTCTTGAAATGCTAATATCAAGAATATTATTTTTTGAACAACAAAACTAAACCAATGAACTTTTAGTTTCATTAACCACTGAAAACGTCTTCTTTTTCCAAGTTCATTTATTTGATATTAACAAAGATCAGCTGACCAGTCAACCATAACAAATATAATCTAAACACTTTGGTTTTGTGTCTTACCTCAAAACCAGCCCGAAAATTTGATCCACACTGCCTGCATCAGCATCCCTCTCAACAGATACAAGTAATTTCAAATGTTTTAACAGCATACTAAGTAACTCCCACGGTTCTTCTTCCTAAGTTACTGTGATCCAAAGAGTGACTACGCTTACATAGACTACACAACACTGTTAAGTGATATTTTTTTCAGGGATATTCTACACTGAAACTAAGAGCAGAGTAACTCAGTAAGAAACTGCAGTTTTTCTTTCTCAAGCTTTACTTATCTAGATTTCATGCAGCATATGTTAATTCACTTAGGATGATGAATCATCCAGTGATACTGTTTCTGGCTTTCTGGAATCTTTAGCCTGATGGTTAACTAACACTTTGATTAATTGCCTTAAAAGTGCAGATACACAACCAAAGAGGAGATGACATTGCACTGGAAGATTCTGTATCCCTTGTTCACTCATTATACATATTTTCCTGACTGTTCTTTTAAACAAAAGACTTTACTGAGCCCAGCACTTGCAGAAATGTTTTAAGTAAGCATGCGTTCTAAAGAAAGGTACATCCATACTTCTTTCATTTGTATAAAACTTCTTGTTTTGCATTGAAGGATAATGGAAAGAAGATGTGGGAATCATTCACCTCCAAACAAAATGGCAGTTCTAGAGCGATGCAGATACCCAGACTTCCAGCTATAACTGAAAGCCTATGCATTGTGCTGCTGGCCCACAGTGTTCCTTTTACCTGAGCCCATGCTGGCAATAATTTGCAAAGGCACTTCTTCTCAGCTCCTGGCTGGAGGCTCTGCCTTGTTCTTAGGGAGGAAACTACTACATCCCTTCTGAGGCCTCTCCAGTTCTCTCTCCCTTAGCCAGCACAACTGCAGGCTTTGTTGTGTTTTATTAGGCCCCTGAAGGTTTGAACTGGACAGAGAGCAGATTAAAGACTCTTTAAAATGCTAGACATGCAGGTCTGAGGGGTTTTTAAGTTTATGATACAGAATAAAAACAAAGCCAATGTCTTCAACGCTAATGGACTAAAACCAAATTGAATAAACTTATTCAGGTGTATTAGTCTCTATTTTGTTTGAGGTATCAGTAAGTAAGTATACAAGGCATCAGGGAGAAAAGTGAGGAGACAGTACAGCTTGGGTTTGGGGAAGGAACTTGACAATTATGCTCATGTTTACGGACTAGATATACATTTTAAATGTAATTGGTTTACATCCTTCAGATTCTTACTATTAGACTCTACCAAGGATGTGCTGAAAAGGGGCTTTATGCACTGAACTTGAACAGTATGAAATTGAACTACAGAAAGGCAACCTGGAAACTAGCAGATCTTGTCTCCTAAGCCATTACTGGTATCACTGAACTTCTGGAATATTCATTGCTCTTCTGTGATATATCAGTAAAACTAATTTAGGAAAGCAGAAGGCTGTATGTCCTGCAGGTACCAAAAGGGCACATTCTTAAATGGCTAAATCATTGATTTTCATAAGCAGTCTCCAGGGCTCTGCATGCACACAGTTAGGGGAGGTGTTCCCAGCATTTATGTGATGAAATGTTTGCCCACTGATCATTCACAGATGGAAGCAATTGCCTGAGGAGCATTGTACTGAGTAGTCTCAGCATATGGGATCCAAAAATGGGTAATTACAACACAAATGACAGTGTCAGTGTCTAGATTACAGCTCTAAAGGCTTTATCTAGAAAGAGCCAAATGCCCTCAAGTTCTGTTTGTTTCCATGGAAGTGAAGGACATGTATCCGTATCTGTTAGGCTGCCATGGCTTTTTTAGGTACTTCCACAAATGTTCTGAAGGTTGGTATGAGACACTGAGTCCATTCCATGGAATATAATGGAGGAGTATGTGTGTATCTGGAGCAAATCCATATGCTTTTCCTTGTATTCTGAGGTGTATGATTTGTGAAAGAGAACTGGGCATGCAGGAGGCAGAAGCAACTGGTTTTGAGTTCAAGGAGAAAGACTGGGATATGCTGGCTAACGCAGGGCTAAACAAAGTGCAACTGAATTGTTTTCAGCAGCAGAAGTTCAAATCCTTTGCTGGGGTTACACAGAAGAGCAGGTGATCTGTCCTGGGACAGCAGCTGTGAATGCACACAGCACCAGGTTGCTTCAGAGCTGCCACCTTCCCTCACACTTGTATGGATTTCTAGTGCACTACTCTACCCTGTGAATGACACCTGTAAGCGTCCAGGATTAAGCTGGGAAGAGTGACTACTGCTGTCCTGATGGATTTGAGAGGAGAGTCTCAGAACTCTTTCAGGCTTGGCTGAAATGGCATTCTGACTTGAGAGCCCCTTTTCTCATTCAGAAAACCTGAAAGTGTGGCTTATGGACATATAATTACTGTTGGATGCTTAGACTCCACATGAGGGCTATGTCTTTCTCATATGCAGACCTGGTGAGACCTTAGGAGTTAAGCAGTGGGTCTGTAATTTTTTGGCCCAAAGTCAGGGCACTCACTGCCACACCAGTGAATGCCTGAAAGGGGATTAATTATGGAACTTGTGGAAAGGTTGAGGTGAGAATAAAACTACCCTCTTGGCACTAGCCTGTCCCCAATTTGATATTTAGGCCTTGTTTCGAGCACTCTGCATTATTTTCTTCAAGGTTAGACAATGGATAGGCAATGAGAGACACATAAAAATGTCTCACTCCCTCTTTCAAAGGGCACTTGTGTTTACCTAATTCACTGTAATTCATCCAGGCATTAATTACCACATGCTGAACACTCACTGATTTCCAAATACTTTAATTAAAAAGTTCTAACTGCCTACAAAGCAAGTTTAATATCTAAAGATTAGTGGCAAAGTTGTGTAAATAAAAATTAAAGAAAGGAAAAGTCTGTGTGTGTGAGGTGAAACCATAGGATACTTGTCTTTTAACTTCTGAAATTTCTTCAGAACAGTCTGTATCCAGAACAACTGTGCAAGGTCACAGCCGTCCAGGTGACAGCAGCAAGGGAAACTGATGGGCTATGAGATGAGTACTGCTCCTGAAACTATAAATCAGATGAGTTTTAACCTAGCGTATTTGATTTTTACCACAGCACAAATCAGAGATGATAAAATAAAATGAGCTCATTATATAGCTATGAGATGATCACATAAAATGCACTTGTTATACAGATGCGCTGTAACAAATAGCTGTTTTTCTTACTGTTATCATCAGCATGACAATCTAAAGATAAAAGAGAGGTGAGAAAACCTGACTTAATTCCCCAGACTGAAAGTACAGGATGCAACATTTCTAAATAATTGTAGTGTACACAAATGGACAATAAATTCAGGATGGTCTCATGCCTATTATAATTAATTTTAATGAGCAAGAGCCCACACAAGGTCAAATAATGGGTCTCTAATGACATAACATTTATGCGAACAGGACTGGATTTATCATTTTGATGTATGAAAAGTGAAGATAAAATCCCAGCAGACAGACAAAAGACAAGTGGCCCTGAGCATTTACATCTTTGCTGCTTCCTGACTGAACAAGTGAAAACGTAAGGTGACATCAGTTTCAAAAACATCAAGTGGGACTCCTACTAGACTGACACTGAAGGGGTGTCAGTCTATTAGCCACAGTAAGTCAGTATATATATTTTCTAGTATGTATCACAGAGATATACTACAGCTTAGGATATTTAAATAAATGAAACTCTCTTACTTTGAATCGACTGTAGTACTCAGGTGCTTTAGATTGCTCTGTTTCTTCTGATTCTGCACTCTGTGACTTCTGCTCTAATCCCTTGACTTCTTCAGCAGAATCTGGACCAGGTTTGGCTTCAAGGACAGACTGTAAAATGGTCTCCAGGGCATCAATCTGAACAATCACATTTGTCACGGTAAGCATAAACAGTTTGGAAATACAATCTGAGTAACACAACTGTCATGTATTCAAACAACTTCATGAGTTCCTCAATTTGTCTAGGGTTTGTAAGCAGAAAATATGACTGCTTTAGTGTATTAGGCTGAGTTCTTTAGATTGGAGCAAGAAAGATACCTCCAAAACCATACACCAAAAGAGGTAACTCAGAATGGTAGAAGTTGCAGATGTGACCTGTCCTTGTACTGTCATGTATTACAGAAATGCTTCAGAAAATGGAGCAACAGACAGCAGAACCTGCTGAGCAGTGCCCTGCCCTTCTGTTTCAAGAGAGACTGCAAGCCTAGTAATTACGTGAGCAAAAGGGAGGCTCCCATGACCAGGGACACCTTCAGGAAAAAGTACCTAAAAGAGGAGGTAAGACTTTAGCAATGTTTCAGCACATGTTGTGGTGGTTTCTTAAGTTACTCCTAATCTGAGTCCAGGATCAGTCTGATGCCCCACAACATTCCTAAGCCTCAAGTCCCTTAGTCACTGCTGACTTCATAAATGAACTGAATCTATCCACTCTCCCCAGATGAGGGTGATACCTTGTAGAAATCACTCTGTTGACTTTTTGGACCAGTACCACTCAGGACATCATCTCAGAGGGCATAGCTGTGAGAGTAAGAATATGTGGTATTTCATCCTCACTGCTAAGAAGTATGTCTCTGAGCAAGTTCAAAAACTTGAGAAACAAAGGTGTCTTCCCACCCCCACAGACATGTGCTCCCTGCGACACAGATCCATATGTCTCTATAGGGAGGGAAAGGCTTAGAAAACATACTTAAATGGTCTCTGGCAATAATAAACATTCATTGCCAAGGACATGCCAGTAGAAGCAGTGATTTTGTTCTAAACATTACTTCTGTCTTGCAAAGGCCTCTGAAGTTTGCCAGGCATCTTCTCATTAGCAAGGCACAGAATTCACAGGTTTTACTGGATTTGACTTATATAAAATTCCATTTGTTCAGTGGGTTATTGCCTTCATACTTACAGCTTCTTTGCAGATTTTGCTGTCTCCTGACAATGAAGCCACAATCTCCATCACTTGCAAGGCTCTATTCAAATATCCAGGTGTCCACATCAGTGGCATTAGATTGTATACAGCTCTTAGTCCCTTATTCAACTCCACTTTTCCTGTGATAAAAACATACTTTAGTGTTACTACTTCAATACCTGAGTCTTAACAGAATCCATATAGGTTGGCTCTGGTTTTCAGAAGTGACAGCAAGTGTCCTAGCTTCTGCCATAAAAACAACACACTTCTATAAAGTTGCTCTGATTGAACTATTATCTTATTTTACTAAGGCACCTTCTTTTTGCACAACTTCAAGGTTATTATGTGCTTGTTTCTGATTCCTCCCCATTCTGCCTCACCTAGAAATTTTGTCCAGATGGAAATCAGACTAGAGTGGCCAGCTTTTCTGGTTGTCTGGCTTTGGAACACCAGCTCTCAGAAGGATGTCTGAAGATGGCAGATAAATGTCTCCTTAGCTTTCAGGGACTGACTGTGGAATACATGTGCATTAAATCTGACTTTCTAGATTCAACTCCGTGGACTTTAGGCTTTACCCACAGATTACAGCAAATGCTCTGGTTAAGTATACAACTTAGTACCCCTCTTTCTGCTGGAGCTTCCGGAGAGAAAATAGGGGAGACCTGCCAAAATGAAATTTTGGTTCTTGATTTAGGACAATCTGTGCACTGAGGTGTTCACTGACTTTAGCAGGACCTGTGATGTACTGCACCACTGACAATGTGGTTTTTCTTCTGACAGTAACTACAAGAGAACATGAAACTCCTGCATAATAGACGAAATGCGCATCACATTGCAGTTGATGTAATTTACAATGATTGCCACTCTAAGGCTTTGATTTTGTCACTGTTGATGTAATAAGTAATACCCCTTCAAGTGCAGCTCACAGGAGTTGTGTCCAAGATCTCAATCTAATTTGCACTCTGGCTATAATGACACAAAACTATGAAATGCACCTTACTCTTCTTTACATGGAAGAGAACAGTTTAGGAGAAGCAAGGTAATAAGTGCACACACAAAGCCTATGGACTATGGCTAAACTAAAATAGCTAAGGTGCTTGAGGCCAGACTGTGCCCACAGACATCTTTCACTCTCTGAGAGGTCGGTTCCATTAGTGTTGGCAAGACTTTGGAATATGTGACATAACAGTAAATAGCTTTTGATCTACTGAAGTCAATGTCATGAAACCAGCACTACTGCTCACAGACAAGAGTGAAGTGCATTTGTGAAATACAGCCACTACTCAACCAATCCATACAACATTAAAAACTCTCCAACATGAATGCCAACTGGACAGCAAAGTCCCTATTTGTATCAGTATCTCCACTGGACTACAAACTACAGCTCTATGGAAAATCCTGCTTTCAAATTAATTTTCACATTTACTGCCCTTTTTGACTGAAAATTAAGTTTTTTGTTTTACAGAAATGATAAATGTGAGTCAGCACCCTAACTCTGCCACCACACATCATATTTTGAGGCCACATTTTAAGTACAAATCCACTTATATTCTCAATAATGCAGTAATGGAACAACAATTCACAATAAATTGTAAATCAATTAATTTCTTTCTAGTAAATAATCATTTTGTAGAGAAGGAAAAAACCTGTCTGCATTATATTCATCTAAAGGTTTAAAGGAAATTCAAGAATTACTTGCCCATTCCCCTTCCCTCCGATTCTGAACATGTTCTGATCTAACTTCTCTTTAATAATACAGCAAGTCATTAGCAGTGAAGACTCCTTAACAGATACAGGATAAAGGCACTATTATCTGCTGTTCACAAGCCAAACATTAACTTTACAGTGAGTAGTATATGTTCTAAACATAGTGATTTTCAGGCTGTGCTCTCTGACTTCCTAAGGTTTAAAGATTGTTTTAAGACACTTAATAACTAGAAAAAGAGTCTATTGTCTTTAACCTTAAATTTGTGTCATGGAAATCTGTACTTTTGGGGTATTTCTTTAAATTTGTTGGTCGACCAAGAAACCAATCCTGTGTTCTTTAAGAATGTTTTCTTTCTTTCAGCTGCCAATCCAAACCTGCAGGGAACCCTAAAGCTGGTTCTGAAGTTGTCTGATGAAGGGCATACTATTCAAGTCAGTACTACCCTCCAGGCTTACAAAAGATTCACTCATGACTCTTGAAACTGTCCTTCCATTATTTCTTTTTTTTTTTTTCCTTTGTGTTCTCCTTGATTACAGTTTAATAAAGCAAAGATGGCAATTTTATTCAACCTCTGAAGAGACGAGGGAAAAGATAATTGAGGGAGGTGAAACTTACCAAGGAATGCATAGCCATACAGCTGGGAGCTGAAACCCACAGTGCTATTTTGCTTTAGACTCGCAAGCACTAGTGATGCTCCAAGATTTCTCTCCTCTTCCCACTGCAAATAATGTAAACTAAGTAAGCGTTCCTAAACAAACACACAAAAAATGGCAGCAAAGACAGCATGTGGCTTTCATCAGATGTCTTAGCAATAAAGTAAAGAATCGTTAAACATGTCCAGTGTTCAGTTACAGGAGCAGTACACATTACACAGAGGAATACCTCTCTTCCCAGAAGACTGTAAAATGTGAGTGGTTGAAATTTTGCATGGAAGTCAATCAGTGTATTTTCTTCAGGACAATGGATTACACTGCTTTACACTGGCCAAGCCCTGTCTCTGTCCTGTATGTCCTACCACTTGCTTCAGGCTAGCACTGCTAAGAAAACTATTACATGGCTTCTGCACTACACCAGCCCTTTCTTTAAAGTATGTGGCAAGATATACACTCCACTACCCCTCACTAGAATATGAAAATGCTGAGAGAAGCATATGCAGCTAATGGCTGCTTTGAGTGCAAAATCTGTTCTGTGAAAAGAGCATGTGCAACTCACCAAGACCCCTCCATGCCACAGGATTAAAAGTACAGCTGTCTCTCCAGCTACAAAGACGTACCAGCTGTCTGAGCCAGACCACCAATGACGGCTAAAGAAGGGTGCCCTATCAGTAAGTATGTTAAAACCACAAGAGTAAATTTTGTTTAGGTTGTTCCACAGCACAGTGCATTTTTCATGACCAGAGAAGCAAGTAAAAAGAGCTTTATTGCAAGTGAAAGGAGGTGAACAACTCCCATGGCTAAGAAAATGAGGAAAAGGAAGCTATAAAAGGCAACAGACTGGAGGAAGTCTGACTATCTTAACACATGGTTTTTGTGACAGGGTACTTCAATGTCTTGTTGATTACGTTATGAACTGAAAGAAATACCCCTGGCGAAGCAGCTTTCTGAAAAAATCCTTGAAGTACACTGAGCCTTAAAAAAACATAAAAGTTTCGATCTTCTGGTTTTACTAGAGTTCTCTTTTCAAGGTACGGCATTTTTTTTGTCTCCATTCAAGTGCTACAAAAATTTGCGTGTTATTCTCTGACACAAAATACCAGCACCTGACAGCCAGGCAAGGTATTTGCCCAACTCAGAAAAAGCATACAAGGCAACAGGGCTACTTTGCGCTGAATTAAACACTCCAGGTGAATGTTATAAGAAAATCAGATGCAACTAGAAAAACAGGGCTGTTACCAGCCTAGGTTCTTTTGGGAGCTAGCGGGACTGCTTTGTAGTAGAAGGCAGCAATCATACTGATTATTTGCAGCTCTCAAGGAGGAAACTTTCTGGGGAGAGCCAAGACCAGTCCGGCTTTCAGTGATGTGTACAACAACAGAGAAATGGAAGCTCCCTATCACCACTGCCATACACACGAAGAACTAATACAGTCAGATTGCCCAAGATTTAGTTCCCAAAGTTAAAAAACATTTCATTAGGCTGCTGGACCCCAAGCTAGAGTCAAGGACCTATCTGCAACAGGACACTGGCTGACCTGTCTTGCACCTTGGGAAAAAAAATGGGATTTTCAGGAGCAGCTGAGCATTTCTCTTTACTCTGTCTGCCCCCACTTCCTAAATCAAACACAGAAAATTGGTGAGCATCATGACGTTTTAAATAGCATCTACAAATAAAAATACAATTTCATTGCTGTCTTTGGATGGGGTTATTTCAAAATGCATATTAAGTAAGTCACAGCTATGTCAATACGCTTGCCTTCAACATGTTGTATGGTCACACCACTCTTGCTTGCACATTCAGCTTTCATGAAACCCTACACATACTGATAAACAGTTGTCTCTGCAGTAAGGATATGCAAACAGTGTGGACAAACACACTAGAAAAATGAGATTTTCATGCCTACGCTTTTCATATAAAAGTGACTGAGCATACTTGATTTCTGGGTAATGAAGAAGAATATCCAATAGGGCAAATGTGCATCTCTTTTCTTTGGTGAAAACTGAAATTACAACCCAGCTGGGTACAACTTTAAGATACCTGTAATATGCATTTTGGAAGATGCTTCATGTAAGACAAATGGAGGCTCCAAGCATTTTCCTTATGCATGACAACATGCTATTGAAAGCTTGTGCCAAACTACATGAAAAGTAGCTCCCTAAAAGTGATGGGCACTGCAGAACCCTTTGCTGACTCAGCCCCTTGTGCAAAGGTAGAATAATGCCACTTCCAAGACCCTGACCTGTCACGTTGGCCTTAAACAAGCAAGCTGTGAATAATAAACCCCTCATCCTAGGATACAGGAGGGGTGTAACAAATTTAGTTTTAAAACAAATATGTATAAGAAACAATACACCCAAAGGCAAATAGGATACTAAAAAACCCAGTGAAAATGCTCTATAATTCCACACCACCACCATCATCAACATTCAGCTTAACAGGGTCCTATACAATATGCACCATAGTTTTTTTGTGGTAATTGATAAGAGTCTGCTTTGAACTATCATTTCATATCCTTCAAATACAATACATCTGAAAATCCCAACACACCTTCCCTTTCAGAGAAAGGAGCAAAAGGCCTGACAAGTGATTTGATGGCTTTCACACTTTGTTGGTTTTTTTTTCCTTTCTTTCTTCTGCAATTGTAAAAAAAAATTAAAGCTATAGAGTATTTATTTTTTCCAGGTAAAGTTAGGGGAAATAAAATATATTCATGATTGAATGCCCAACTGACTGCATTATGACACTCAGAAGTAGAGGCTTTGTGTATCATTTTGAGTGTGGTCAGCTTACCGCATGATCAGACTTGGTTGCCAGATACTGGTATAAAATATAGAGAGAAAGAAGCTGTGTTGAAAATTCATCAAAACTTTCTTGGAGCATGATCTCTGTTACTACTGACATAGCATCTATGGAAGAAAACAATACATAATCAGCACAGCTCCCAGTACGCAGTTGCCTTTTGTACCCACTTATGTTCCCCCATGCTTTATTGCTGTAGTATGCTTTGAAATAATTAGGGAGAAAGTTAAGCATTTCTTACCTCTAGAATACAACTACAGAATTAGTCTTATTCATTAGGGTTATTCAAACACACTGCAAGAAGAATGGGCTGATAGCATAAAACTACAGCAAAGGAGCTCTCAAAATCATCTTAGCTCTACGCTCTTCAATTGGCCCTTCTTTGCTCAGCTCTTCAATTATTAACCTTTAAAGAAATATTTTAAAATTATTTCTTTGTTCTTGTGTTTTGATTACAAACAAGAGAAGACTGGCTTAACTTCACTACCCTTAGGGTGACAGGAGAGTACAAAGGACCAGAAATGTTGTCACAGATCACCCACAGCAGTCTTCTCTATTCAGCAAACAATGCTCTGAAGGAGCTCTGCAGGGAGTTCCAGTGACACTCCCTGTCAGAAAGGACAGTTTGTTAAACAAAAGGCCTTGAGTCTCACACAGAAAAGAAGTATGGATGAAATAAGGGGGAATTCAAAGATGGGGGTGTGTCTCAAAATAAAATAAATACATGTATTAATTTGCCATTTAGCATAACCTTCAGGATAAAAGCTGTTGTTCCTTTCAGTTATTTGTTTTACAAGAGCTTTATGCAAAGGAAGCTTACTGTAAGTCTACAGTACTAGAAGACCTGAAATGAAATTAAAATCTTTAATATGTCATCAAACACAAGAGGATTATTCATCTGAACATTTAAACAGTCAGTAGTGAGATGTACCCCCAGCATGACAATTCAGCATAGCTGGCTTGCTCCAGTGACAGACAGAAAGCCTAGACAAAGTTTAGATACGTAGCTTTTTGAACAGCTAAACGTATGGAAGATGAACACTACCAATATGCATTTTGATTCTGATAACATTCTAATTAATTGTCACTAATAACTCCTGTGACATTATTAGCACATAAATCAGACTTGTAAAAACTGAAGAAGATGGTTTACATTTGTAATAGGATTAATAACAGTAGAAACTGTGAATCTTACATGTTTGTAAGATTCACAAACATGAATTTTGTGAAATGAGAGATAAAGAAATGAGAGATAAAAATGCAGAAAAATAGTTTGAAGGAAGGAGAAGGCACATTTTACCGTGACTTCAGAAAAAATACGGCTAAGAGTTGTTAATTCAAAGAAAGGCTCTGCAAATATAAGAGCATACAACAGAGGATTCAGTATCGGTACATATTTTCTTACCTTCATATTTCTTCTGCTTTATAAAATAATCCAACAAAATATTGAATGTAAAATTATCTGGAAAAATTCCATACTGAACCTAAAGAGAAGAATGAAAAAGCTCAGTGTGCAAACGTGCTGTACAAATCTTCCCAAGCACAGCCCTACAGGTATCAGAAAGACCAGAACCATGGCGCTGCACACTGCTGCAACGTACAGTCAAGCACCACAAGGAGATTAGTGTGCCTCTCCTGTGATGGAGACCTTCCAGCTTTTGATGCACTGCATTTGTTTTGGCATTTTATCTAAGCCTTTGGGACCAGGAATGGCATTGCCTGTCATGTTTTTTATGCCTCTTCTGCACCTAGCACGTTTTGGACACCAATGCTCTTTAAAACCAAAAAGCTTCCTGGGAAAGAAGAGGATTTTAAAAGCTGTAAAGAGATAGAGCTAAAATTCAAATGCAACATAAATTTTTATTTTGACAAAGAAATATCTGAACTTAAAAACCACAGTGTACAGGACCTGGCTGCAACAGGAATTCCAGTCAAGCCACATTTGTCTCAAAAAGCTGATCAAACATATTCATGGCTTTTCCTTTGTAAATCTTACTTTGTTTTTTAATGTGTATAAGGCTTTGTCTTGAGCACCATATTTCAAACACTGTCTGATCCAGCTGTGGATGGTCCAGTCTCTCAAGTACCAGCAATTTGGACTATGACGAAACCTAAAAGATGATAAATAGTTCAGGTGACAATATGACTCTGTTATCACAGAAACAAATTCTGTAATCAAGATTTGTAAGTTTCAAAACCCCAGCATTCATTAACTCAGATACAAATCTCTCTGTGTTTGCCTTTGCAATCAATCATCGCTCTCTAAAGAGTTCCAGATAGCCCTTTCAAGTAAAAGAAATGAAACTTTAACACCCTAACAGTATGTACAAAGGGGAATCTGACCTTTTCACAAATGTATAATATTTTAAACTTCTCACTTTCCAGAAAGCCTACTGCTTTTCTCCTGAAAAGATGAATACCATAAAATAACAGCTTGGTATATATATGAAGATCAACTTCATATATATCATCATCATGGCGAGGCTTCGCGAACGAAGATTTGGGAAGGCTCTATCCACATTTGCTGCAGGCACGTTGGTGGCTTATGAGGCCAACACGTGACAGACATATCCGATTGCGAAAGGCACAGCAGAAAGACTCCTTAGATGGTGTATTCTGCAATTTACGGTTCTTTCTGCGCTGCCTTTTTTCCTCGAGAGTGATCCTGCGTGTGTTCTCGAAGGAGACAGCTGCGTTATAGATGGTGTGTCTCCAGGCCTCCCGATTTGAGGCCAGAGTAGACCAGCTGTGGTGATCAATATGGCCAAGGCTGAGATGTTGTTTCAGGGAGTCCTTGTATCTTTTCTTCGGGGCTCCTCTCATGCGGCAGCCAGTGGCAAGTTCGAAAAAACTCAACTATGCGCAGATACGGGTGATCACAAAGGTTTCTATGAGGCCTTGAAAACAGCATACGGGCCTACATACCAGGTACAAAGCCCTCTACTCAGCGCAGATGGGCAAACGCTTCTAACAGATAAAACCTCCATTCTGAATCGTTGGTCTGAACACTTTCAGACTCTTTTCAGTACCAACCGTGTAGTCCAAGACTCAGCAATTCAGTCAATCACACAACAACCGGTGAAACACGAATTGGATACTGCCCCCAATTTAGGAGAAACCCTCAAGGCCATACAGCAGGTGAAAATTGGCAAGGCAGCTGGGGTTGACGGAATTCCACCCGAAGTCTGGAAACATGGGGGCCTTGCACTTCACACCAAATTTCATGAGTTTGTGGTGCGCTGTTGGGAGCTCGGTGAACTACCAGCAGACCTTCGTGATGCAGTCATCATCACTTTGTATAAGAAGAAAGGTATCAGATCAGATTGCTCAAACTATCGTGGTATTACTCTGCTCTCCATTGCTGGCAAAATCCTGGCAAGAATACTCTTGAACAGACTAATACCCACTATTGCAGAAGGAATCCTTCCTGAAAGTCAGTGTGGCTTCAGAGCCAACAGGAGCACCACAGACATGGTATTTGTCCTCAGACAACTGCAAGAGAAGTGCAGGGAACAGAACAAAGGTCTCTATGTAACCTTTGTCGACCTCACCAAGGCTTTTGATACTGTGAGTAGAAAAGGTCTATGGCAGATTTTGGAACGTTTAGGTTGTCCCCCCAAGTTCCTTAAAATGATCATCTCACTCCATGAGGATCAACACGGCCATGTCAGACATGACAACACACTTTCTGAGCCCTTTTTAATTAAGAATGGTGTGAAACAAGGCTGCGTTCTCACTCCTACCCTATTCACCGTCTTCTTTAGCATGATGCTCCAAAGGGCCACAGCAGACCTCGATGATCAGGACGGTATCTAAATTCGATACCGTACTGATGGAAGCCTATTCAACCTAAGGCGACTGAAGGCTCACACCAAGACCTTAAACCATCTTGTCCGGGAGCTGCTTTATGCTGATGACGCTGCCCTTGTTGCCCACACAGAAGCAGCCCTGCAGCGTTTAACATCCTGCTTTGCAGATGCTGCTGAGCTCTTTGGGCTGGAAGTCAGCTTAAAGAAGACAGAGGTCCTCCATCAACCTGCACCTCAGGAAGTCCCCCATCATCCCCACATCACCATTGGCCAATCAGAGCTCAAATCAGTCCAACAGTTTAATTACCTCGGTAGCCTCATCTCCTCTGATGGTAAGATTGACGGAGAGATAGACAACAGGTTAGCAAAGGGATATAGTGCCTTTGGAAAACTCCACAAAAGAGTATGGCATAATAAACACTTGAAGAAAAGCACCAAGATCAGTGTTTACAGAGCCATTGTGCTGTCTACTCTCTTATATGGTTCCGAAACATGGGTCATCTACCGCCACCACCTGCGTCTCCTAGAGCGCTTCCATCAACGCTGCCTCCGTTCAATCTTAAACATCCACTGATCAGATTACGTGACCAATACATCTGTTCTAGAACAAGCAGCAGTGACAAGTATTGAGGCCATGTTACTGAGAACGCAGCTGCGATGGGCAGGGCACGTCTCAAGGATGAAGGACCACCGCCTCCCTAAGATCCTACTCTATGGTGAACTTGCCACTTCATATATAAATACTGCTATAAATACTGTGGTGTTTTTTAACCTTGTCCTTGTGATTCTATAATATTGTATTGTTGCTGGTCTCGTCAAAGAGATGTGACTGATGATATCCACAAGCATCAGAATTACATCAAAATATAACTGAGTCTGAAACTTTAGAGCTTGTGTAATCTGGTCCCTCCCATACTCTAACTCATGCCTTCGCTTCACCACTTAAGAATCCATTATGCCTCAACACAGGTCATCCCTGGGCTGCTTGCATGCTCCATTTGCCTTAGAAATCTTCATCAGTGAGGTAAACCTTATGCAAGGGGAAACTCTGCTGAGAGCCCGTCCCTGCCCCTCTGCACTGACAACCTACTCTGACACATCTCATGTCATGGCTTCAGCAGTATTGTCAGGCAACCTACTCCAGTGCTTGTCCAATTTGTAAAATTGAATACCTTTAAGTTCAGCCTCTTTTATTTCATCCTTATTCACACACATGCACTTTGCTCTGCATTTGGAGAAGTGGTGACAAAAAGCACATGGAGCTTTAACTTTGGCCAACACTCAAAACCTATTATAAGTCCAATGTTAGAAACTGCTGCCTTGGTCCTGGGCTGATTTTCACACCCCAGTGTGAAGAGATGCATGCAATGTTTCTCAGTTCAATTTGTATGCATGAAAAATAAGCACAGAAATGACTGCCAATTCCCTAGAAAATGCCAATGACTTAGCTGAGCTCATGTGCAGATGCCTGCAGCCCCAAGCCAAGCTCCAGCACCACTTAGAGGCAGGGCTGACTCTTCCATCTGAGCAAGCATGCTTTCCAGAACGTTTATCAGATTAACGTGGCCACCAACTCCCTGTCCCCCTCAGTAAATCTCTTGCCTATTGCTGACGGCTACACAGATGACCAAGCCTGGAAAAGTACTGCAGCCTAGAGAGCCTTCAGAATGAAGGAGACATCTGTGCCAAAAGCAGAGCTAAATCACTGCAGAGTCTAAATATATGGAGTTTTAAGTGGCACATGAAATCTCCCCATTAAATTAGAATTTAATAGACAAAGAAAAGCATGCTTTGAATATTACATTACAACATCCACTTTGTTGCTGTAATTGCTTTCCATTTTCTTCCCTCTGGAGTTCAAACATACATTTGCTTTCAGTAAAGTCCTGTATCAATAATCCTTACAGGAAGCATCAATTACAGGAATTTGTATTTAATCATATTTTGATAAAAAAATTATCGAATTGCTACAGACTGTTTCACCAGCGATTTAAGAAGGGTCAAACTGGAACACCAGCACCCAGCAATAAAGCTGCTAGCATCTTTTAAAGTTTTATTAAATGGCTAATATAGTTTCATAAGAGGAAAATAAAAGACTCACCTTTCAAAAAACATGACACTGATGCTCTCAAATACCTAGGACTTTCTTTTGATAAAATCTTTGCAGAAGGAAAGCAAGCAGTAAAAAAAACCCAAACAACCAAAACACCAACAAAAAACCACAGCCAAAGGTTTTTAATGGGTTTCAATATTCAACTCTTTGCAGAGCTCTATTTATTCTCTTGAGTACACCACAGTGAGAGAGAGCATCCCAATACCTCCTGCACCTTGGGCTTGCAACAGCTTACTGTAGTGATGAAAAGCTTCTAGGTTTAAAGTCAAATTGCACTTGGACAGAAAAAGGCCTAACAGGGATGCAATGCAGTCTAGAAACAGAATGAAACTGATCCTGAGTCAACACTCATCGCTGGAATCAACATGCACAAAATTCAGAGGCATGTTATAAAAACTCTTAAAAAATCTGCATGAGCTTGGTAGGGCTGGGAATGATTTGAGTGCGCATGTGTATGGTGACTCATAGGATATCTCATGTATTATTACTGTATGTATGTTACTATCAGGATTTTTTGCTCAGACCAGGTCTCCACTGTACTAGGTGCTATGCAAATGAAAAGCAAATAGCTTCTCAGTTAAGCAGTTTGCTACTTAATTCTAACAATCAATTACAAAGCAGTTGCATGGGAATGAAGAGACGGGACTAGTGCAAGAATGCAACATATAGGCACGTACAAGATTCTCAACACTAGACACTTCCATTAATCCATGATGTAGGAGAATTGGAAGTGAAAGGGAAACAAAACAAGTATGCTGCAATCTTTGATTGTTTCTGATCCATTTCAGGCTGAGATAAGCTCTGTCTCTATTCTGCTAGCTGAGAAGATAAACCAACAGTTATTTGGTTTTACAGTTGGAATCAGGGAAAAGAAGAGGTTGCTCATCATTTTGACAAGCATTAACATCTTCTTCCTTCTCTTTGTCCACAAAACAGGATATAATTACGCAAGGCAATATGTTCAGGGACAGATGAAAAGAAAAAGGAAGTTAAAACTACAGAAAGCAGAGGATTCAGAATGAATTAAATAAAGGACGCCTCTAGCAATTGCTGTGTATTTAATGGAAAAACCAGAAGGTTATCTTGCAGATGCCTGATGCCGAAGCTCATTTTTCAGAGAACTAATAAAAACCCAAGAAGAACAGGATTCTTAAAATGTGTTCAGAAAAGACAAGGAGAAGCAACTGTA